GGGAACGCTGGTATGCACGGCGAGAGTGTGATGTGGGGTGGGGGGAGGAGAAGATCTCCCTAATCTCTCTCCCCATTCTCTTTCCCTTTTTTTTTTTACCTTTTTCGTTTTTTTGTGGGAGCTGCGATTTGGGCATGATTGCAGTTGGTAGGGAACGCTGGTATGCACGGCGAGAGTGTCATGTGGGGTGTGGGCAGGAGAAGATCTCCCTAAACTCTCTCCCCATTCTCTTTCCCTTTTTTTTTTTTACCTTTTTCAAAAAAAAATTTGGAGCAGCGATTTGGGGCATGATCGAAGTTGGGGGGGCCGGGGAACGCTGTTATCCACGGCGAGAGTGTCATGTGAGGTGGGGGGAGGAGAAGATCTCCCTAATCTCTCTCCCCAGTCTCTTTCCTTTTGTTTTTTTTACATTTTTTCGTTTTTTTTTTCTTTGTTGTTTTTTTTGTTCTGGGAACAGCGATTTGGGGTGTGATCGCAGTTGGTGGGGAGCGCTGGTATGCACGGCGAGAGAGTGATGTGGGGTGGGGGGAGGAGAAGATCTCCCTAATCTCTTTCCCCATTCTCATTCCTTTTTTTTTTTGTACCTTTTCCGTTTTTTTTTTTTTTGGGAGCAACGATTTGGGGTGTGATCGCAGTTGGTAGGGAACGCTGGTATGCACGGCGAGAGTGTGATGTGGGGTGTGGGGAGGAGAAGATCTCCGTAATCTCTCTCCCCATTCTCTTTCCCTTTTTTTTTTTTTACCTTTTTCGTTTTTTTTTTTTTGGGAGCAGCGATTTGGGGTGTGATCGCAGTCGGTAGGGAACGCGGGGAGCAGCGATTTGGGGTACGGGGAGAGTGTCATGTGGAGGAGAATATCTCCCTAATCTCTCTCCGCATTCTCTTTCCCTTTTTTTTTATACCTTTTTCGTTTTTTTTGTGGGAGCAGCGATTTGGGCATGATCGCAGTTGGTAGGGAGCGCTGGTATGCAGGGCGAGAGTGTCATGTGGGGTGTGGGGAGGAGAAGATCTCCCTAAACTCTCTCCCCATTCTCTTTCCCTTTTGTTTTTATACCTTTTTTCGTTTTTGTTTTTTTGGGAGCAGCGATTTGGGGTGTGATCGCAGTTGGTGGGGAACGCTGGTACGCACGCCGAGAGTGTGATGTGGGGTGGGGGGAGGAGAAGATCTCACTAATCTCTCTCCCCATTCTCTTTCCGAATTTTTTTTTACCTTTTTCTTTTTTTTTTTTGGGAGCAGCGACTTGGGGTGTGATCGCAGTTGGTAGGAAACGCTGGTATGCACGGCGAGAGCGTCATGTGGGGTGGGGGGAGCAGCGATTCGGGGCATGATCGAAGTCGGTGGGGAACGCCGGTATGCACGGCGAGAGTGTGATGTGGGGTGGGGGGAGGATAATATCTCCCCATTCTCTTTCGTATTGTTTTTTTACCTTTTCCGTTCTTTTTTTTCTTTGGGGAACAGCGATTCGGGGCATGATCCAAGTTGGGGGGGGAACGCTGCTATGCACGTCGAGAGTGTGATGTGGGGTGGGGGGAGGAGAAGATCTCCCTAATCTCTCTCCCCATTCTCTTTCCCTTTTTTTTTTTAACCTTTTTTCGTTTTTGTTTTATGGGAACAATGATTTGGGGTGTGATCGCAGTTGGTGGGGAACGCTGATATGCGCGGCGAGAGTGTGATGCGGGGTGGGGGGAGGAGAAGATCTCACTAATCTCTCTCCCCATTGTCTTTCCCTTTTTTTTTTGTACCTTTTTCGGGTTTTTCTTTGGGGAGCAGCGATTTGGGGTGTGATCGCAGTTGGTGGGGAACGCTGGCATGCACGGCGAGAGTGTGATGTGGGGTGGGGGGAGGAGAAGATCTCCCTAATCTCTCTCCCTATTCTCTTTCCCTTTTTTTTTTTACCTTTTTTCCTTTTTGTTTTTTGGGAACAGCGATTTGGGGTGTGATC